GATAGTTGTATGTCATAGTTGCACATCCTTCTAGTTGCTGTATGTGGGACACGGCCTCAGCATGGCCGGAGAAGCAGTGCGTCGGTGCGCGCCCGGGATCTGAACCCCGGGCCGCCAGTAGTGGAGCGCGTGCACTTAACCGCTAAGCCACGGGGCCGGCCCCTATTGGGGTCCTTTGAAGAGAGTTGGGATCACTGAAGTCTGGAATCACTCATCAGAGGCCATCCAAGGAGTGGGAGTGTGTTCCCATGTGACAGTGGCCTGGTGGAGAGGACAGGAGTCCCTTGGCGCTGCTGCCCTCCTCCTCTCGGTCTCTGTCTCCCCCTCCTCCAGCTCTCTCCCTGCCCCTCCACCGTTGCCTGGGCCCCATTACTCACATTTGCCTTGGTAATAGATGGTGCTGCCCATGGCCACAGAGAGAAAGCTGAAGGCATAGAATGCAGCCCGAAGGAGGAGGACTGTGCTGGCCCCCAGCCGAGGAGGTCCTGCATGTGGGTGGTGGAGAGGAAGGACTTAGTAAAGGGGGCCCTGGGGAAGAAGTGTGCACAGGCTCAGGGAGGGACAGAGGGCAGGGGGCCTCAGGGAAGGACTCTCGACTTCCAGGGAGAGTGGGGCCTGCAGCCAAGGAAGTGCAGCCTCCCACACCTCACCTTTCTCCACCACCAGCAGAGTCCCATTCCCTGTCCCGACACCCAGGCCCAGCACTTCCACCCTGCACACGTAGACGCCGGCGTCATGGCCTCGGATGTCCCAGATGTGCAGCTCAGCCTGGTGGTCACAGAGGAAGCGGGCAGAGGCAACAGAGGCCAAGCGTCCCCTGAACTCTGGGGTCTCGTTCCTCACCTCCTTCCCCAGGGCCACCTTGTCCCGGTACCATGTGACAGAACCAATGGCTGGTTTTCCTTGGCTGGCGTTGAAGGAGCAGGGCAGGAAGGCAGTGGCACCCTCTTGGGTATGAATCTCAGGGGGCTGGGACACCCAGAGAGCACAGGATCCTGGGAGCAGAGAGAAGACCCAGAGAAAAGCCTCCCCAGTTATTCCAAAGAGAAAAGACAAGAGCTTACAGTAGAATATCCGCCTCCATGGAGGTCCTGGGGGGATGAGCACTTTGGGTGCCTCATTAAACCCTTTCCTCCTTACCAACCTAATTTCTTGACATGGCTTATTACTTTTTCAAACTCTTTCCTGTACCAACTCTCACCCTCACCCTGTCCCATCATTCTCCAGCTGCATTCACTAGTAACACCTTGCTGAAATTTAACCTGTCACAGTGAAATTGAAGCTCATTAGTGAATGTGGCTGTCTAGTTAACTAATATCATTAACTATATTTTTCTAGGCATTGTTTTAGTACTAATGACATTCTGTGGTAAACCACCCTTGCTACTTTGTTTTTTGTTAAAGAGCATTAACTAATTAAATCTCCAGGTGAAGACATGGCTATAATTGATTAAGATCCCTATTTAACTCATCCAAACTGATGAATTAAACTGATTATTAAAATCCTTGATTAAATTCTCTAGTTGGTGAAATTTAACAGTCATTCTTCTATTTCAGGGGTTCTCAAACTTGAGAGTGCATGGAATCACCTGGAATGTTTGTTAAAACAGGTTCCTAGGCCCTGCCCCCAGACATTTTTGTTCAGTAGGTCTGAAGTGGGGAGTGAGGATTTGCCTCACGTTCCCAGCAGATGCTGAAGCTGCGGGTCTGGAGTCCACACTGCATTTAGTTAATGAATATGTCTGATAGTTAAGGTCTCTCAGTTAATTAAAATCAGTTGCACTAAGAAACTTATCTTAGATTTAATTAGGTCTTCCAAACTCCTAATTATATCTAGACCCTAGATAATAAGCCTTGTTTAATAGGCTTATTAAATTCATCAAATTAAAACTGACCCCTTAAAAAAATTGACCCCTTCCTTCAAGCCCTTTTTACTGGTTCTTTCAAGTTTATCTTATTAGGAAGGTGGCTGAGAAGAAAGAGCTCTGGGATGGAAGCTAGGGAGTGACCCTCCCAGCGGGCGATGTGGAGACGTGGAGGGAACTGTGAACTGGGGAATCCACTGGGTGTCAGCCTTACTGAGGACCCCACTTGCTCCCACTCTCCTTTCCTGGCTGCTCTCCTCAGGGCTCAATGTTCAGCCCTCACCAAGCCTGCTCGCCCGAGACATCTATGTCAAGCCTCCCCCATCCTCCCTCCTCCCAGCCCCACACCCCTCAGGGTCCTGGGAGACAGCCCTGTCACCTGGCTGAACCACGATAAAGACGAGCAACAGCATCCGGGCCATGTCGGAGGATGTTCCAGTTGATGAGGGGGACGTGAGCAGTGAGGTCTGGGTAGAGGAGGAACAACTCACTACTTGCGGCCAGGCCTTTGGTCACCAGATGGGGGTGGGAAGCTTCCTATGGCACACAGGACTCACACGTCACTTGCCAAGGACTTCAACTGCCTGGGACCTCAGGCATCAAATGCATGCCTCTCTGAGGAGGAGGATGCTGCTGATGGCGATATCTGGGTCGAGGAGGTGAGGGCAGCATATGGGCAGGTTTCCTAAGTGTTTGAGGGGGGAGGGTGGGGCTTAGGCGGCTGGTAACGCTAGGGCAGGTGGGCGGGTGAGACCAGGATGTGGTTCCCCCACCTTCCGAGGTTCAAGAAGACCAACTCTTTACCCAGAATAAGCCTCGAAGAGCTCTCCTGGGCCCAGAGCTAACCTACTTCCCCTCCCCATGGCTCAACAGCACCCAGGCCCACCCCATCCATTCCCCTCCCTCTAATCTGGCCCTCCCCTAGGACTGCTCTAGAAATTCTATAAATGGGGGGATTAGCGGAAGTGAGCTGATTGGTGGTGGCGGCACGGGGTTGCTGGGGACTCGGTTTGGAAGCTGTATTTGCATAGCAATCGCCTCGTTTTACTTAGACCCTGTCGACTTGGGTGGTTTGGCAGAGTGCAGCTGACTGAGATATTGAGACTCATTTGTATTCAGATCTCCATTAAAGGAATGCACCTCTCGCAGAGGTCTGCTTTACCTAGTGCAGTCTGCACAGATTTATCACCCACTGGTAAATCTACGCATTTATTATTTTATTCACTATTTAGCTAACATTTATTGAAAAATTACGAAGTGCCCATTACATAAAATGTATTTTTACAGACACAAATGAAAGACACATTGCGTTACACATAACTCCAAGGTTATACCAGGATTAGTACAGAGTATGCCACACACTCTCCTATATGTATTACACACCCACATGAGAGAACACAGCACACAGAAAAGAAAGATTGTGTGTAAAATGCCAGGTGAAGTATGCCCAGCCCTCACCACACACTTCTCTCTGGGTCCTTTTATAGTAATATGTACTTTTTCTTTGTGTCCGTGTTTCTAGCTCTGTTTCACAATACATTCATAGACTGTGCAGTTCCCACCCTTCACCGCAGTGATCTGGAGCTTTTTTCTTTTTGGAAAAGCAGTCATCTTATGGTTAAGAATGCTGGCTTGGAGGCAGCCTGGGTTCAAATGCCAGCTCTCCCGCAAACTAGTTATATAATCTTGAACAAATCATTTAAGCTCTCTGAACCACCTCGACAAGCACACGTGTTGCACAATCAGGGAAGGACTCACTCAGCCCTTCTCCATCAGTGGAGTGGCTGCCTGCTCATGGCCATCTAACCGTAGGATGTGGGATTGAGGTGCCACGGCCAGGCAAGGGCTGCCCCCTGGTGGTCATAGGGCATAGGGAGGCCTGAGGCACCAATAGGTGGCTTTTCTCAACTGGATCTTAACTCCTGCTTCTGCCCTGTCCTTTACCCTGCCTCATCCTGGCAATACCCCATCCCCATCCCAAAGAGTCAATGTGGAAAAAATTGTCTCTTCTACTCAACTGTGAGAAGCCCGTGGTTTGAGGAGAGAGGGGAGGTCACCACCGGTGGAGTGGGGGTGGGGGGCTGGAATGGGCAACTGGCCTGAGGATAAAACCCCATACTTTCCCGGTGCACACACCGTCTCATGGCACTACTCCCTGTCCCAGGGCAATGTGGCTTAGAAGTCAAGGCAGCCTAAGGTGGAGTCCTGGTTCCACTACTTACACATCTGTAAAATGGTAATAGCATCTGTCAACTTCCAGACTGCTCTGTACTGGATGCTCAGTGTATGTTAGCCTTTAGCTCCTCTGCAGCCCTGGGCTAGGATGACCAATGATATAGCTGGGCCTAAACTCCAGGGTACCTTGCTTTCTCCACCTCTTCTCTCTACCTAAGATTTCCAACATCCAAAAATGTTGTGGATTCTGAAGACAGTATTTGGATTTTTTTCTTTTTAGTCCATCTAGAATAAATCCTGGTATATATGTGGATTCAAGGACCTTTTTCAATAACTCTGAGACCCTCTAGGGAATTTAACCTATGGGATGGGAACTGCTGTGCTCATCAGCTCAGCGGACAAAGGATGGAATTTTTCAAAAGGAAATTTTACTAGGGACTAAGGAGGAAAGGCAACGAATAGAAAAGTTGTGAAGTGGTTGTGCACACGTCTCTGGTCTAACTTCTTCAACATCCAGCTGTGGGCTGGCTTGAGGGTGGTCAGGGCCAATAACCTCCCAACCCAGAGCTCTGATCAGGAAAAGAAGTGAAAACACAGAAGCGCCTCTGGAATCCCAGCACAAGTGATCCTACCTCTCCCAGTGTTTCCTCCTCTCAGTGTTGGCAGGAGTGAGACGTGGGTGACTTCTCTAGCCAACTTCTTATAAATGTCTTTCAGCTAATGAATAGTTTCCAGGTTATATTTTCAACTTCTCACTGCAACTTCTCCTCTGTGGGTCATTGCTTTGGACCCCACCACCTTCCATCTCTCCTTCTTGCTGTCCTTGTCCAATCTCCCTCACATTCACCGAGAGCTGGCACCTGACTCTCCAGCTACCTCTCTGTTGCAACCTCTGCCATCTCTCTGGAAAACTTAATGTCCACGTAGATGACATTTTTAAACATTGAGATATAATCACATACAGTAAAATGCACAGATCGTCAGTGAACAGTTTGATGACCTCTGGCAAACATACACAATCGTGAAAACAACACTGGAATTGAGATATAGATCATTTCTATCACCCCAGAAAATTCTCCCATTCCCCTTTTTGGTCAACCCCTCTCCCCTCCCAGAAGCAACCACCAATTTATACCCCTTTAAATTAATCTTTTCTTGAACTTCATGTAAATGGAATCGTATAATATGCGTTCTTGTATCTGGCTTCTTTCATTCTGCATAATGTCTGTGAGTCATCTACGTTGTTGCGTGTATCAGTAGCTTGTTCCTTTTTATTGCTGAGTGGTATTCCATTATATGCATGTACCACAATTTGTTTACCCATTCACCTGATGATGTACGATAGGGTTGTTTCTGTTTTCTTTGCTCTCATGAATAAATCTCCTATGAATATTGTTTTTTTTTGTTTTTGTGAGGAAGACTAGCCCTGAGCTAACGTCCATGCCAATCCTCCTCTTTTTGCTGAGGAAGACTGGTCCTGAGCTAACATCCATGCCCATCTTCCTCTACTTTATATGGGACGCTGCCACAGCACGGCTTGACAAGCAGTGCATTGGCGCGTGCCTGGGATTCGCACCCGCGAACCCTGGGCCACCGAAGTGGAGCACGCGCGCTTAACCACTACACCACTGGGCTGGCCCTCCTATGAACATTCTTGCACACATCTTGCAAATGACTTTACAATACACTAATTTCACACTTGCTTCACCTTGTCCACTCCAACCATCACCTTGACTCTACATGACCTGCACCTTGGATCCTGTCACCATGGAAGCTGTTCCTTTTGGAATCTTACCTCCTCTTTCACAGGGACATAAAAGCAGTCAAGCCTGAGTCCCTCCAGATTTCTGTACCCTACACACATGCTTTCATACCATTCTCCTGTTGGAGGAATTTTGCATTGTTTCTCTCACTTGTACTCAACAAATTTCGAGCATCTACCATGGGCTTACCTAGACAATCCTGTCATAGCCACAGTTTTAACTACTGCTTATTCTCTGTCGAGTCCCAATCCATATCTCCATCTGAGTTTACACTTTCACCTCAGGCCTCTCTCTTGAGGTCTGAGTTCAGATAACTGCCCTCTAGACATCTCCAGAGTATTTCACAAGCATTTCAAAACCATCAGTGTCCACCCAAACCGGGTCAGCCTCCTATATTGCCTGTCTCAGTGAATGGAAACACAATCTACCCAGTCACTTAAGGCAAAAACCTGGGATTTATCCTATTCTGCCTTCTCCCTCAATTTCCCCATTGAAACAATCTCCAAGTCCTGTCCATTCTGCCTCTGAAATATCTCGGGTATCTTTCCCTGCCTCTTAATTCTCATTGCTACTTAAGTCCCTCGTCATCTCAGGATGAAACTAGTACAATTGCTTCTCTGGTGGATAGTGTGATTTCTTCTCAACATCCATTCCACACCTCCCTCTCTGAGCATCAATGCTCTCCCATCTATTCAACAATGCTTTGACTGGGAGCCTTCCATGGGCCAGACATCCAATCTTCATCTTCCCTTATCTCTCTTTCCCTCACCTCTCTCCTTATCTCTCATAATTTTCACATCTCTGTGTATAACTCTTCTCATCTCACCATCTTTATTCATATCACTTGATTCTTCCCTATCTCTCTTCCCTATCTCACTCCCCACATCTCTCTAACCCCGCTACATACACACACACACACCTGCTTGTTCACTAATTCATTCATTCAGCAAATATTTAGTGATCACCTTCCATGTGCCAGACATCCTATCTTCGTCTTTCCTTATCTCTCCCTCATCTCTCTCCTATCGCTCTTTCATATCTCCCATATTTCTTTCTGTCTCACCATCTTTATTCATATCAATTATTTTTCCCCCATCTCTCTATCCACACCCCACATCTCTCTACACATGTCTCTTTATATACATATATCTGCTTGCTCATTCATTCATTCAACAAATGTTTAGTGAGCACCTTCCATGTGCCAAGCACCCCATCTTTCCATCCTTCTCTCTCTTACTCCATCTCTCTCCACATCTCTTTCTGCCTGCCTATCTTTCTCCACATTTTCCCCACCAGCACACCTCTTTCCCCAACCCCACTTCTCGCCCTCTTTCTCCCCCATTTCTCTCTGAGAGAATGAGCCAATGGCTGCTGAGGCACTCCCCTCTTCCCCCTGGGGGCAGATCACCTGTCCACTGAGAAGCCTTCCCTGACTCTGCCAGGCTGGTTGGAATCACTCCTGAGTGCCCTCGGACTTTCTGTGCAAGGATCCTTTATTTTAAAAAATTAATCTAGGGGCCAGCCTGGTGGCTCAAGTGGTTAAGTGCGTGCGCTCCGCTGCGCCAGCCCGGGGTTTGCCAGTTCGGATCTGGGGCACGCAGAGACGCACTGCTTGGCAAGCCATGCTGTGGCGGCGTCCCATATAAAGTAGAGGAAGATGGGCATGTATGTTAGCCCAGGGCCAGTCTTCCTCAGCAAAAAGAGGATTGGCAGATGTTAGCTCAGGGCCGATCTTCCTCACAAAAAAAAACAAGTAAATAAATAAATAAAATAAAAAAT